CAAAGGTAATTGCCGAGTCTGTGGTTGTGCCCCTCCGGCTGCGCTAAGCGCAGGGAAATGCAGACGCTGCCATGAAGTCACGGGAGTGCAGGGCAACTTCTGCAGCCGGTTATTGCCCCGCAGTGCTGGGGATGGGGCGGTCGGGGGCTGCCGTGGCTCATTTTACCCCTGGTGCTCCCGTGGGTTTCCTGGTAAAGAAATCAAGGTCCCTGGGGAGGGAGAGCAGCTTCCCCGAGAGCGCAGCCCGGGGGGCGGCCGCGGGTGCTGCTCTGGGTCCCGCCGGGCCGGGCCTCCGGCTGGACCCCACTCGGCCGGGCTGCAGCCCCGACCCGCCCTCGCTCCGGCTCCCCGGGAGAGCGAGCTGCTTCATGGCAGGTCCTTAAACCTGCCGTTTTCATTTCACGTCTTAAATGTGCATGAAGGAATTAAACTGCACGAGTGAATAACAGCATTAGTTTCAATTAATTTTTATCCTGGCAACAATAAACTTTAGAAACAAAGCGCTTTTACATCCTTAATTAGTCTTGCTTCCCATCTGTAGTCTCTTAAGTGCCTGCTTCTTGATTTAACTTTGTCCCTCCTTCAGAGCCGCCTCCTTTTTCATTCTTTTCCCTTTTTTCTCGTTATCCCTTCCAGACTGCTGCCTGTTTCTTTCCTGCAACCTTTCACCTCCCTTGTCCCTGTCTGTCTGCTCTGCTCTGTGCAGTTTATTTCTACTGTATTTTCCCAACATCAACAGCAGTATTGGTTACCATGGCCCCGAGCTATGTGCAGAGGTGGGAAAGCTTCATCCGCCCAAAAGTTCTTACACTTTTGAAGTCTTTCTTTTAGTAGGATCTGAAATGTATCATCTAGAGTGTGTATTAAATGAACAGTATTCCTGAAGGCTTTAGAGCAAGAAAGGCAACACCCTGGAAAATTCTGCAGTCTTTCAGCATTCTCTGCCCTAGGGTTATAGCCCTGGGCACGGAGCTGAATGGAGCTCTTACAACTGCCTTCTGTTTACCTTTTATGGTTAAAATAACAGCTTAGCAAAGAAGCAACTTCATGGAGAAACGATTCAGTGAAATCATCTCAAGCTGTAGCAGCATAGCTAGTTTAATCACCCCTAGAGAGCTGAACAACTGTGAGCACAATGGGACACAAAATCATTTTGTGTGTAAATGAGCATGGCATTGTGATTATTTCACTTTGCATGGGCAAATAGTTTTTACAAGCAGTACTTATGCAGTTAGCTTAGAAAGGCAGAAAAAGATAAGCTGGCTCTGAAAGATCTTGGTGTGTAATGTTTGAAAAACTAAATATTCACGTAATTTGGGAATCAGGCTCTATTGATTTTGCCTTCAGCAGGTTCCTGTGTTACTTACTAGAGCAGGGTTATTGCCTATGCCACTGGTTGGGATGCTGTATCCTGTTGTAGGCAACTAAAGAGCAAGGATTATTTTACATGGTTTAATAAATGAAGTTTGTTAGTGTTTCTGCGATATTTACCCTTAAGGTTTTAATTTTCACATCAGTATTAGAAAATATGTGCATAAAGACTTTCACTGGATAAATACATTTAGGATTTTGCTTTGTGCATAAAAAAAAAAAAGTACATTACTCAGTGTGATGAATTTTAGCTGCGTTTTACATTAAGAGGAGGAAAGAGTCATTAGAAATAGGGTTACGGTACCTTAAGAAATAGGGGGTATTTATTTTTTTGGAGCAATCGGAGTGTTTTCAGTGCCCTTTATGTAGTGCTTAGCAATTATGCCCCTTGATAATTTGCTCATACAAAAATGATTGAATTCCACAACTTCAATAAAAATGTAGGATTCGTTTTTTTAATATCAGTCCTCTCCAACCAGGGGAAAAGCCTGTGTTTTAATTTCCCTTCTCCTCCCCTCCCCCAAAAAGCCAGTGGCACCCTCAATAAGTGTGAAAAGCCATAAAAGTTTGAGAACTATTTTAGCTTTCCAGTGATTTTCTATAATTAAGTGTTTTTTCAACACATACTCTAGCTGAGAGATGCCAAAAGCAGAGGACTGTTCAAAAGGTCCCTCCAGTGAATAGTATAAATTAAATATCTACTGTGTGAGTATGGCCTCACTGAGAATCTCAGAGTCTTTACAGATCAAGGAATTTACTGATATACTAACATTAAACAAAATCCTAAGATAGCAGCAGTGTTTAAATATGCACAAATAGATTCAGATCACTTGATCTTTAGCTATCTGTGCATATTTTAAAATTGAAGTCTGTATTTCAAGACAAATGGTTAAATGTAAGACGCTTTTACAGAGAGCTGGAAGTCCTTTGATTTCATTTGGAAATTGTAACAAGGGGTGCAGATGAGCCCTAATTAGGCACTTGTTTTGTGAAACTGCCTGAGATTTATATCTAAGGAAGCTCTGTACCATGCGAGGTCTGTACCTTTATCATTAGTGATAATAGTTGGGGTCTGAACAAAGAGAGTTGACATTCAGCCTGGATCTTCTGACCCTTTCGTTTAAGTGAAGGAGTAGAGAGTGAACATGAGTTTACAGTGCTCTTTGGTAAGAAAAAAACCCCCTTTGTCTTTGTTGGCAGGCAGATGAGGCACCCATAGATCAGTAAACAAGTCGCTAAAATTCTGTGGGTACTTACATACTCAGTTGTTTTTTAAAAGTTACTTCTTTTATTTATGCTATATGACATATTTACTGAAGATTGCCCACAACAGGCTCTTGTGGGAAACAAGAAAGCAACGTCTTCAGTCATGAAAGGATTCAATCACTTTCCTTGAAGGTGGTGCTGTAGTAAAAATGTTAATGCCCAATTTCGCATCGGCTGACACAGAAGTCCTAGGACAGAGTTGGTATTTGCTTCGTGTTCAGTGCAGATGTCCGTCCAGCCTCTGAAGAGAAAAAGATGTGGATTCATAATGGGGTGATGTATTTCTGTGCTGTAGATGCAGGAAATTCTTAGGAGCTAACCAAGATGAAATACAGTAAATGGAGAGGTTGTGGTGACTTTATGAAGCTGTCCAGATATATTAAGATTTTTCAGTCCCTTTCTGTATAGCTCAGAATTTTTTTTACAAATAATACTGCTCTAATTGTATGTTCATTGAGTGGCATAGCAAGGCATCTTGTGCAAAAAATACTGCTAAGAGAAAGGCGAGACCAGCTTTAGATTTCTAAGAAACGTTGTCAAAGTAATGTGGGAGAAATGGGAATTCACTTTGCAATGCTGCATGTAAAGTGCTTGTCAGATGTAAGGAAGAGCCTGGATGCTTGGTAGCATGCTTGCAGAACAAAATACCAAGAAAATTAGATTATATTCAGAAATGTCTTCAACTGTAATGTTTTGCATATGTTGCTTTACCCATGAGGGGGAGAATGGATGGACATTTTCTTAAACTTTTATAAAAGGGTTTTTTCTGTTTGCCATGTATGCCGCCTATACCGATTTAACTGAAATCAGCTTGGAGACACACGTTTCATGCAGAATAAGCTGTGCTTTTCTTACAGAAGAGAATTGAGGAATTTTCTTTTGCTATGGTTGTCCTGTTCATTTTTAAGGCATTTCAGTATTTTTTGCTTTGTAAGTCAGATGAAGATTTTTAGACTCAATTCAGAAATTTCACTAATTTTCAAATATTCTTAGGGCAGTAAACATTAGGTGGATTGTTGAATTTGTAACTTCACATGCCAGATTGTACAGTAATTTCTAACATGTCTTGTCATGAAAGCGTGGGTCAGTTTATATATCTTCCTATTTTCACTGCTTCCAGGTGATAATTGCTTTCAGTTTGAAAGCTTATTAGTTCTTTATATGTCTAATATTAAGGCTTAAATGAAAATTATCCATTTATTTCACAATTATTGAAAATAAACCAGAAAATTGATCTTAGTTTGATGTGAAATTTACTACGTGTATAAACTAAATGCCTTAGGTACTGAGGAGGTCACTAATTTAGAGGTGTCTCGTTACTGAGACAAACTTGCAAAAACCCCTGAATCCCAGTTCACAAATTGGTTATTCGTTTGTCAGGGGATATTTCACATCTAACACATAAGCCCGCGACCTTTAATTAGAATTTTGCAGTTTGTTTTATGCCCCTTGAGGCTGACACCTTGAAAAATTTTTTTCTTGATTTCTTATTGCTAATAAGCATCTTTCTCTTCCCCTCTGGTACTTTGAAGAAAATGATGCAAATACACTTAATTACAGTGGTGGCAATAATTTGTTAGCTGAATATGTGATCAGGCAGATGCAAAAATGATCTGATTAGATCTGTGATCACACTGGAAAGAAAGGTAACACACTGCTACATTTAAGAGAAACTGTTCTTTTTTGCCTTCCCTTTGCAGGAGGGAAGAAGCATGTCCCGTCTGTCTCTAACACGGTCCCCGGTTTCTCCTCTGGCTGCTCAAGGAATTCCTCTCCCAGCTCAACTCACCAAGTCGAACGCTCCCGTGCACATCGATGTAGGAGGACACATGTACACCAGCAGCCTGGCCACCTTGACAAAGTACCCAGACTCCAGGTAAGATCTCAGTGGTTTTGGGCTTGCTGCCCATTTCTGTTCATTGCATGGAAAGAGGCATGTACCTGTGAAGAATATTTCAATGCGAAATATGATTTATTATATATTCACTACTTATGAATAATTCAGTTTCCGATTTATACAGTAACTTCACTGGGGTTCTACAGAAAAAAAAGCCTGTAAAATTTATGTATTATTTAGAGAATCTATTCATTTTCTCTTTCAACGTCTTCTGCACTCTGCTGATACGTTTGAAGCACCTGTTGGTGTGCTGCCCTAGATTATTTCCAACCGTACCAAGCAACTTCTTTCTGTCAGATTTAGGGAAAAAAAAATCATTTTGCTCTTTCTTAAGAAAATGGAACAGCTCTGTTACACTGGGACTAATGGATGCTTCTGTCGGCCAGCCAAAATCCTAACCTGAGTGGTGGCTGTGCGCCTCGGTGTCAGCAGTCATTCCCTTTGGGCAGTGGCTGGCCAACCTGCTCTGTCTACTTGCAGCTGCCGATTGGATTGAATTTTTGCATACTTAAAGGTAGCTGATTTGTGCTGGACAGGTTGGTGGCATGTCTGGCAAGATTTATTTAGATCTGGCCGGTATTATCTCAGCGTAGACTCCAGATATGCCAAATTATGAATAGATGCGGCATGAGAGTATTTTTGTGTATATGACATGGGGTCTCTGTTATTTGCCCAGGTCCCAGTCCCCCAGGGTACTGGGAACACTGTGAAGAACGGGGGATCCTGGGCAGCATCAGGCCTATGACAGTAGTGTGGAAAGGACTGCTGTGTTAAGGGTTAAAACACATTCATTGGAGCAGTATGTTAAGACATACTTGGTTTTGATTTACAGTTATGATCACTAAACCAGTTCAGCTTTTTGTCATCCAGACTGCTTATTTTTAAGAAGGGTAAAAGTGCCTCCTATGTAACCAAGAGAAGGTGTGGATGTGCGGTGTCAGGGTGCCCAGCAGACTGGTTAAAGGAGGCACTGTTGACTCAAAAGCAAACCAGAGCCCAGGTCAGCAGGCTTCATCGCCAGAGGTTTTGCTACCTGCATGGCCAGTATTTCTGTATGGATAGATTTATTTTTTTGGTATGACAACCGTGTAAAGGTCTAGTTTCATTTGAAGATTTTTCCGTTAAAAGAACTAGGGATTTTTGCATAGATTTGGCAGGTTCCCAAGCAATAAATGACATTTATGGAGACACCTTGAAATGCCTCTGATGTCATAAAGCATATGGCTGTGATTTCATTCCAAGGAAAGGGAGCTGCTGAAATTCTCTATGGAAAAGAAACAATTATTAAAATACCTATATTTTATGGTCAGATGAAAACAATACGATTTTTCTGGACAGTGTCTGTTTAATGATGTCTGTGTGGTACTACTTTAATCATAGAGTAGAAATCTGTTCAGTGGGGAGAGATTTATAACAGAGAAGCAGACAAATGCTTCAAAGTATAAAAAAATACGGAGAAGAATCAGCAGTTGTAATAGAGTAGCGCATCTGTTTCCACATTTAAAAATATCACTGCTGACACTATTTTTAAAATATGCCCCATATCAGACTTACTTAATAAAAGCTTCAGTTATGGAAGCTTTGGGAAAATATACATAAATTCACAGATTTTATTTAAAGGTAATAGAGTACTGATCTAAAACTTTTTTTTCTGTTTAATAAATAATAAAAGTGTATTTTCTTCAGATTTTGTACTTTGTTTAAACTGAAAGTACAGAACTGCGACTGACCAGAGCTCACCTGCTGCCTGATGTTTTGCTGTGTACTGTCTTTCGTTTGTATTGCTGTGTTATCTCATAAGGCTTGAATGCTTTTTCAGCTGCTCAAACTTCAGTTCTCACTGGACTAAGCTTACAGGATGAGACCTGTAAATCACATACATTTTTACAGCAAAAGATAACTCTTGACCAGCATCCCAAGTAGGACATACTGCTACACACATTATGAAGCTGGATGAAGGATACACCTTTTTTTTTTTTTTTTTTTTTTTCCCCTTTTTAAAACGTTTTTTTAGGTTTGTTCTTCTGCAGTGCTGTGTAGTAGACTTGGTTGGTTGCCCCCCATTGAGTCTGGCCTGCTTTCATTCCTGATTAAGGCAAAGTGCTTGTGGTTATTTCAGTGGGGATGGTTGGAGCTCCTGATGGTGCTTCACTGCCTTGGTGTATATTTTCTGTAAGGCATAGACTGTCTTTGCAGTGGTCTGTCTGGGAGAGGAATCCCAGGTCTCTCACAGGTGCAGGAGGAAGGAGATAGCTTTTCTGAGCCAAGACATCTGGAAATAATGCCAGAGCACTGTTAGCTTATGCTCAGAGATAACATGCATGGCCATATATAGAGGCATGGCCATACTCATCTGCACGCAGAGCTTTCTGGATTATTTTGGACAGCATATTAAACTCTTGGTTTGAGCATGAGTTTAAAAGCTTGAACTCTTGAGAAATGGAACAGATTTGTAGATTGTATTTCAGCAAAAGATGTAAGCATATGCTGAAATGCTTTGCTAAATCCTAGCTCCAGTCACATAGAATAGTTTGTGCTCACTAAAATTGAAAGCTGTGGGAATGAACTTCCTGTTTGTGTTACAGCCTCTTTCTTTCTCTGTGCTCCAAAATCCTAAGAAGGTTTTTAGCTTGTGGTATGTACAGTACATGTGTGTTTAAGGACACATACAGATTGTGAGCATGTGTAAAAATACAATCAGGGTATGCATACACAGAGACATCACATGCTGTTGGAAAACAGAAAAAAATAAATCACCAAATCATGTTTATCCTTCCATAGTATTTTGAGGAGGCTCAATACTGTTAGGTCCTGAACAAACTCAGTTCACGTTGACTTCAATGGGAGGGAAGAGCTCCTAGCAGCTTGCCAGATCAGGCCCAGCAGGAGCAAGTATAGGTATGACCAGTTCCTGCCTATACCTGCTCTCCAGTCACCCCTCTGGTATGATATAAATTATACCTGACAGCAGGCAGCGTGATACATTTCTTATTGTAATTTGTTAGGATTGACTATGCTCAGCCCACTCGGCTGGCTCTCTTGGCTGTTCCCAAGTTACGTGGTTGGCTCTAATTCGGGGAGAGAAAGAACCCAATTCTGGAAGTCTTACTCATGTGAGTGAATGGCTGGTGATGTGAAGTCAGAGGCCAAATGTTGCATTTCAGTGATCCCAGAGTTGTTTCAGAGCAACTTTGACAAAGTCTTTCATGTTGTTTGTATTAGGGCAGCTGCTGTGAGAAGAGCATTTGTCCATTGATGAAATTTGCCTAAGTAAAGGGGTACCAGATTAGGGATTAAAGGGGGTAGATAGCCCTTTTCCAGTAAATTTTTATGGGCTACATAAATCCTCTCATCTAAAAATGAGGAAACCTGAGTGGCACACAACTGGTGTGACTAAGGAGAAGAGAGTTAAACAGCCACAGTCAAAGATGATTTCTAAAACCGGTCATGCTCACCTTACGCAGTACTCCTACACACCTTTGCAGTTGGCTTTTTGAATGAAACACCATACAAGAAAGCAAGATGGCCTTTCAGAGGGTGAAAGGCAAGGAAAATGAGAAACAGAGAAAAGAAATTGTGATCGACAGCATAATGATGGTGGTCACGGAAACCATCTCGGAAATAATATTATTAATCCCTCTTCCTATAGCTATTTCAGGGTGCTTTCTGTGCATGCCCAAAATTGCCATTAAAGTTAACAAGCTTTGGACGTACAAGGAGACTGATGTTGTCTTACCTGGGTCTGAGGCTTAATTTCAATGGTTTATTTTCAGCAAGTTCTCCTGCCAAAACTCCCAACTCTGGTAGTTGTGAGTTACAGATAAAACAAACAAACAAAAAAATTGAATTCAGTCTAATGACTCTTACCATCAACATCTTATTTCTGAAGTCACTGGCTAAGTAACCAAATTATTCGTCTTTGAGAGCATTTCCTCTAGAAATTCCATTTATGTTTTCACCCAGAAGACCTCTAAAGCAGCCCCTTCACACGTTGACGCTTGGATGTGGATTTATATGACAGATCATAAAGGTTGTAAAACCTCTAGCACATCTATAAAGTGAGTTGCAAATTGTATTTATCCAAGGGAGTGAGACAATTCTTCCATTTAAAAAAACAAACCCACACCAGAAGTCCAAGCTCCTAACATCCAGTCAGGAATACCCAAGGGCATTACCAGATCCTCCAGTCTTATTCCCACTGAACTCAGTGGCAGACGTCTCATTGCCTTCAAGTGGAAAAGAAGTTCCAAATCCTTGTATACCACAGCAAGCCCCAGCTTCTTGATTTCACTGGAAATTTTGATATCACTTTGAACTTCTATTAGGAAGCAGAACAAGATTTTTCAGCAGAAGCCCTGAATAGTTTTAGCTCAGAGAATTGCTGTGAGCTCTTTGGGAGTTTTTCTGCTATAAAAGGTAAATATATTTACCTTACATTCTTGGTTAATTAGTATTTGTTGTGTAACCCTCTAGTAAGGATAAGTATGTTCTTCAAAATCTATTTATAAAAAGTCATGCTTTCTGTGACATGAGTCATGTGACAGAAAGTGAGCAGGAATCATTTTAATTGAAGCGCTGACATCTAGGTGGGGATAGTGTAGGCACACAGACCCCGGGGAGCCTCCGCCTGACAGTTTGTAGCACACCATGTTTGGGACCTCTCAGCTCCCAACCTTTCCTCTTCAGGAAGATGGAACTTTTTGACCCTGTGGCCCAAGGCATGCTGAGCAGGTGCTAACATAGTGCATGTGCTGATCTCAGCTTTTGGGGCAGCTGGGCTTTACCACCCTGTTCACTGGAGGCTCTGTCCTCCATAGAAAACCAGCACAGGCCATTAACTGTTTCAGAAACTGATGACCTTAGCTGTTACAAGACATAGTAGAGTTTTCCAGGTGTATCGCTGCCTCACCTCCCTCTGAACCCATGGACTTTTTTGGTGATTTACAAAGGAATCTCCTGAAGCATGTGTTTTCTCTGCT